CTCTACTGCCTCTTAATCGAATGGGATTAGTATTTATTCATGTGAAGGGTCAGGTACCTTAAAGGGTGAAAATGAAAAAGGTGGGTGTCATAAAAATATCTTGACTCAAACTTGACTCTGAGTAGTCATATGTAGTCTTCTATCTTGAAAATTATCAAAAAAAAAAACAAAAAAAAAAAAACATCACCGTCAAACCATATTTTTTTCTTGCACCTTTTGTCAAAACAAGATTGAGAGTACATATGCTAGTGTAAGGAGGGCCTATGGGATCAAGTCTGACCCTGCCCTTTGAAACGTATATTTTCTAAAATCTTGAAATTAATTGAGATTCCATAATGCGTATCTATAACCCCCCTTTTCTATGCACTCTTCATGAATATTATATTATTTTAAAAATGTTTAAATTGTGCATTTATGTATATTGAAATGCCTTTCGGAGCCCTTGATAGGTAAATAAAAAATATCTTGAATATCTTGTATACATACACATTGAAATTTCACATATGTTTACATTTGTCTCTATCCTTCAATATTTCTTGATAGAACAAGGAGCTTGCTTGCTTGCTTGTATATTGTTTAACGTCCCTCTCGAGAATTTTTCACTCATATGGAGACGACACCACTTGCTGGTGGAGAGCTGGGAATTTTGTCTTATGCTCGGCACTCAGGGCCATTGAGCAGGGAGGGATCTTTTTCATGCCAGCACCTACTGCGACACGGGACCTCGGTTTATACTTTATACGGTCTCATCAGAAGGACCGGTCTCCACGTCCCACAGTGGGATTCGAACTCGCGAGGTAAGGATTGACTCCTTCCTTCGCGGCTCTATAGCAGACGCTCTAACCACTGCGCCACGCTGGCGACGAACAAGGAGCTAAGGTGAGCGATGTGTTACAAAGGTACTTTTGTTTAGTCTTTTACAGATATACATGTTGTCTTTTTAACTTGAAAAATCATTATTTCATTTTTTAAATAAAGGGGTCAAATTTTATTCCATAAAACACCCTTTGTATTTATCCATGCTTGCAGGCAAAGAAGAAAATGTATTTTTGCTCTAAATGTTTGATTTTATTTTTGAATTCAGTAGATTTTCTCCAAAGAGGGGAAAATGTTTTGAAATCTTCCCGAGTTTTAAGTCGAGGTCATTGTCGGATATATGTGAAAAGTTCATTTTACTCAATCCGTACTACTTCTGCAGTTAGTTCTTTTATGCCTGCCTGTCCAAATTCCGTATAAGAAAAAGAATCAACAACCATATAAAGAATAAAAATGGTCAAAGTTCTTTTAAATACCGAAAGAAAGTTCGAAATGCAGGCAATTTTGCTTCTGTTTTTGAGGAACAATTCCAGTACTTTCTTGGAATATCGCACATGAATTGTGGGACCACACTGAGGCCATAACCTTTTCAACTTTACAGTTCCATATTTTACACACCCATTTCTAAATTTCACCTTAGATCTTGTATTTGAGACCCCGATTCCTGCATGGAATTCATGTGCAGATAATTCGCTTTCAATATCTGCAGTATTCTTTCAGCTCTGAAACTTCTATGAAACATCCTCCAAACCTTCTCAATCAACCTTGAAAAATTTGTCGCCATTTCATTTCAAGGACATTGATAAATTGATAATTAGAAGCACTGCATATGCTTTAAGTATACCACAGCATATAATTATAAACACACAGCATATAATATTAAATGGACCCACAACATATAATATTAGACCTATTGCATGTAAGATTAGTCCAACGCATATAATAAAATACCCACAGCATTTAATAAAACAGCTCACATTCGGCAGCCATGGCGTTGATTTCTGTTGTTTTGTTTTATGTCTTCGTCATTTCTCATTCATACGTGATCGTACATGTATCAAACACTATCTCATTTAAATAGCACATGTATTGCAATATATTATTATAATTATTTATTTTTTCTAGAGGGAGAGTTTAATATTTTATGTTATATTTACAGGTATTTTAAGAAGAATGTAAAATAAAAACCTGTATTTATCAGCAAAATTTACTTTTTTGCAAAAACTGTAGCGCGACATGTTGTTCGTAATGTATTTTTAAAAGAATGTACAAAGCTTCAATTACACAAGTAAAATTGGCCCTTCTGGGATACACTACTTTTCAGAATACATTATCCTAGATTCAATAGTTGGAAAGGAGCAATATTTATTTATATTTACATGTGTATTATGATATCTGTTTCAACCTCCAAATGATGCGCTAAATAAATCTGGAAACGTAATTAATCTTGCATACAGTTTGATGTGAGACATTCACGCTCCTTGTTTTAATGAAACTTAGAGATACTCTTTGTCAGTACGGAGGCCTTGTATTGCAGTAAACTAATATTTTCCCCGATGTGATGGAATGCTTATCTGAAGTGATGGTTTTGTTTTCATTAAGGTATGTTTTGTTAAAACGTGAATTTTTTTTGTAGCCAAATTTTAATGCAAATATTTTTAGAAAATATTTTATATTACTAAGAGTCAAATAAAAAAACCCAAAGAACCACAAGAAGACTTCTTCTCAAGGGTCATGTTGCAGATTTTTATTAGACTGAATATTCCACACATAGCGGCGCATGATAGCCTAGAAAAGCGGGAGGGTATTTACTATTTATATAATAGTGTTGCATTATGCATGTACTATGCCTAAATAGTAGGCAGGGTTTGACACATGGTGCACGAGCCGGAGGCGAGTGCACTATGTGTCAAACCCTGCCTACTATTTAGGCATAGTACATGCATAATGCAACACTATTGTTATTATTATGCTGACTGTTGTTATTATTTATGCGGCAATCCATTTGATTTTTTCCAGAAAATAATGGTGGTAACACAGCGCACTTGCAAAAACTCATTCAAAATCTTCATGCTTAAATTAGTTGTATGCTTAGTTATTTTGGTTACTAGTATTTTCTCTAAATAAGTCAGATATTTTCTGTCCCAAAGATACTCATCTTTATTTTCCGTTTTGTTAGTAAGACTGATTTGTTTACAGACGTGGATTCTCATTGATAATTTTCTTTTACATCCTTCAATCAAGCGCTATATAAAAAAGCGTTTTAATGACCCCATGATATCAATTCATCTAACGATCTGTATGTAATTAGTTTGAAACTTTGTTGTACACATTTATCTAAGATTCCTTAGAATAAATATAACTGTTTTCAAATAATATTTGTCTATTTTCTCCTTCTTCTGTCAATTGTGTAAATTAAGTTTATATATTTAATAAAATTCTCCCAATCAGTGATCGTCTCTGTGGCGTAATCAATAAGGCATCGGACTGGCAACCTCATGGTCGTGAGTTCGATTCCTGGTGTGTGCAATGAAGAATTTTATTCAGAAAAGAAGACCGTGCACTATTTCGGCATAGTATGCTTACGCTATATAAATCCTTAGACCACTATGCGAGAATAGTAGGGTATGGGTTATATAGAGACAAACTGACAGGAAGCATAATAATCATTTATATTTACATATGCATTATAATATCTGTTAAAGCACCAAATGATGCGCTAAATAAATCTGGCCCCGAGGTTATAAAACTTTTTGGAGTTCAAATTCGTACTCAAACTCAAACTCCGTACTCCAAATTCATACTCATACTCCAAAGTCGAGGTTATAAAAAATCATTATACTCGTACTTAAACTCCAACGGAGTACAAACTCAAGAATTTTCAAGTATGCTCCAAACCAACCTCAGAGTCAATCTCAAATGTCATGTATAGGGTTATTTCACCCTATCTACCGGCTTGCATGATCCGTTTGCACCATGATTCTTTTTCGCCATACAGATTACCCCATCATAAATATTCTATGTCTACATTATCATTGGATTTAAGTTTTTTCTTCTTTTTTAATTAATATAAGTTATTGAAATGATATATGAACATGTAGGTTTAACTGTTTAGTTCAGTCGTTTGAGCAGTTGCGAATTGAACCACAGGCCTGACGAATGGGTGATGTAACCCCCCCCCCCCCTTCCCCCCGAACCTGAGAATAGGGTCAATCTCCAAATCTTACCAGAAGCGTAAAATGATAGCAGATATTGAAATATAAGAATGATAGAGTAGGAAATCATGCATTTTCGATAAGGTTTTGTAACGTGTATAAAAAAATTCAGAAGCTGGGGGAGTGGGGTGGGTGGGGGTGTTACACCATCCATTTGTTAGGTGCCTGTGTTCTAAACAGGGAACCGATTTGGCGATGCATTAGATATATGATGACATTATTTCAAAATCTATGTTGCAGCCTTTGTCAAAGGGTTTTTTTTTAAAGAATATTTTACTCTCACTTTGATCTCATATTTATAAATTAAATTACTTAAAAATTGTTTATAAATAAGAGTATCACATCGATTACTTTACTGGTGTTTTCTTTTATTTATACTGAATGTCAGTGAATGGTAAAGTACTGTATAAGAAATTAAAATACATGTATAAACAAAAAATCTTGAAATTCAATAAAATAAAAGAAGTCGACCGTGCATACAGTTTTCAATGAGTGAACTTAAAAAAGAATATTTTAATGATTTCGTATATTAAAAATATGCATGAAAGAAAATTATTAATGTTTTTTATGTGTTTCTTTCCATTTGTGAATGACAGAATGAAGCAGGTGTTTATTTACATAAATTGCCCTCATATGGCGTATACTGCGTACTAGCGAGTGCATGTACCCTCATTTTAATATGTAAGTTTACATAATTTCTACCTCCAAAAGCTAAAGATTTCCTTTTCCAGAGTTTGAGTTTGTACTCCAAATCCGTTGAGTTTGACTCAGTGGAGATTGCACTCCAAATATTTATAACCTCAAATTTAGAAACGTACTCAGTGGAGTTCATACTTGGAGTTTGGAGATTGAGTTGGATTATGAGTACAGTAAAAGTTTTATAACCTTGGGGCCTGGAAACGTAATTAATCTTGCATACAGTTTGATGTGAAACGTTCAAGATCCTTATTTGAATGAAACTTAGAGGTACTTCGTCAGTACGGGAGCCCTGTATTGCAGTAAACTAATATTTTTCCCGATGTGATGGAATACTTATCTGGAGTGATGGCTTTGTTTTCATTAGGTATGTTTCGTTGAAACGTGATTTTTTTGTAGTCAAATTTCTTGCATGGATTCTTTAAAATGATATTTGATATCAGTTACAGTGAAATCTCAAATAATAATTAAAAAAAAGAACCACAAGCTATATAGAAGACTATTTTTCAACGGTCATGTTGCAGATTTTTATTTGACTGAATATTTCACACAGATCGTATTGTAATCAATTTCAGAGAACAAAGAATATTTTAAATTTCTTTCAAATACACTGATTAAGGTCTTTTGGAGTTATTTTATCGTAAATGCCAACTTAAAAACTGATATAAAAACTAAGTAAACACATCTCTATACCCTAATTCAGCAATTGGATTCAGTTTTTGTAGATGCAGAATACTGCCTGTATTACACGAAGTCCTTGGATTGGACCAGCTTGTTATCAGATGAGAACAACACCTCCCTCTCTCCTCGATACAAATCTAAGTCGTTCACAGTCTACTGTAGCTATGGCGAGTACTGCTGTGGAAAGGCCTGCTGTAGGAACAAAACTAACAACAATTATTATATCAGCACTGACTATGACGATACTCACTACACGAGATCGCACGAGGACGGACTGTAAGGCATACTTTTTTAAAAAAAATCTTAAATTCAATAGGAAGGTCTCGTAGGAAGATTGTTTTCAAAGTCATTCACATGTAAAGGTATTAATGAAAAATGGAAATCAGACATTTTGTTGTCACTGTATATAGGAGACTTTATAGATGCAATATGATATATCAATTAATTAGCGTCGATATAAAAAAATATTTTTAGTTAAGAAAAGAGGACAATTAGAATTGCAGAGTTGGTAATTGTGCACATTAGTAATTTCAAGATAATGCTGTATATAAAGTACTGGCTAGCATATTGTCAAATTAAATGTTATACTTCTCTCTTTTCTGTATATAGGTCCACCGGTGGCACGTTTGGTTTGGTGTTTGCTCTCGTTTTGGCAATTTTAGTCTGTGCTTTATGTTGCAATGCTTGCTGCAAACAAAACGGAAACGCAGACTCACCCTTACCAGTCAGATATGTGCCGGTGTAACGACGAAAAGTGACCCACGTAGAATATTGACCGGGGGTCATTTTTCTACGTAGAAATTTGACCCCCTGGTCAATATTCTACGTAGAAAAATGACCCCTTTTTCTGTAGAAATCATGGCCTAGGGGTCAGTTTTCTCCGGGTGCATTGTAGAAAAACGACCCGTAGAATAATGACCCCTTGTCATTTTTTGATGTAAAAACAATTCGTTTTAAAAGTAATATTCTTGTTTGGCGAATGCATACGGGTAATTTCAAGCTGCCTTTTGCAATGTGTTAATTTCTGAAAGCTTTGAAGCTAAAATAACGAAATCAAAGCTATAAAATACCTTACTTTAATGATACATACAGTTTTATCCCCACTAAAGGAAAACGATATCAAAATGTTCTAACTAAAGGCTATACGAGGGTTGTCCCGTAAAATCGTGGACAAAGCGTATTTCTCGAAAAATAATGGACGTATTAAGCTGAAATTTTCAGTGAATGTTTATTTATCATATTTAAGTTAATTATAAAGTTTTGGATAAAATATACACAAAAATATAGACTTTATAATGCTTGAATGTGCACAGGGTAAGGCCCTACGGCGCACGGTCAAAAAACGAAGGTTTTATAAGAGAATACAGGAATATTGATTTGAAACAAAATATTTAAATAGATAAGATTAGGGTAAAAATTATCCTTATTCAATTCCACAATTTATTTTGTTTTCTTCTTAAAATTTTCAATGCATTTGGTCAATTTTTGACAGTTTCCTGGGCATTTGAAATGGGAAAGTGGTAAACACAACATACGAAAAATGGTGACGTTTGGTGACGTTACGGCGCACCGGAGATCAGTTCGCTATGATTTAGATGGTGTAATAACGCCGTATAAAACTTTAAATGAATACAGAAGAAAAAAAATCCCCCAAAATTTCCAGATCTTTAGTATATAAATGAAATGGGAGTTTTCTGAATAAAGTCTTTCTTGATGGAGTACCGAGGTAGTACAAGACATACAGACAAACTAAAATTGTAATAGCTAAAGACGCTGTCAATGTTGACCGCGTCAATATAAGATTGTTTATTAGTTGAATGATGTTGGAATATTGTCCCTATCTTACTAATAAATCATCAGAAGATCGTACATTTGTGCCAGATTGGTTCCTCAATTGTTTATGGAAACTTAAGTATGTGCTTCAATGAAATTTCGAAATTTAAAAGGGACTTATCCAACTTTATTTTTAGCGCAAAGATGAAATTTGAGGTACCTGACGCTGTTTTAGGCACTTTGTCGTTATCATCCGTGCGCCGTAAGACGATACAATACATAAATAAATATAAAATCTCATAATTCGTTTATTTATGCATACATCTATTTGAAATTTTCTATATTTATTAAGAAAATATGTACTAAGAAGTACTGAAAAGGTTCATTCTCTATAAGGCCATTTTCCGGCCTACGATAAAATCATTTTAAAATGTGATTTTATATTACCTTAATCATTCTTGTTCATGATTTTGATGTTTGTTTTTCAACATCGATCATCTAAGTCACGTGATTTAGAGATAAAAAATGGCCGTCAGTGAAAGAAAAATTGAGGGTAGGTGTATTTAAATCAAGCTTTTATGCATGTTTCTGGATGTAAATAATCAAAAATTGTTTATTTATGTCGGAAATACATCAGACCAAAGTAATAAATTCAAAGATTTTTTAAATTTAAGGTTTAAGATACTTTTTATGACAAGAATTCCCATGCATCCACATTTTGCATATTTTGAACGTAAATCTTTACAAAATTCACACTGAATACTGCTGAAAAAGTTTGATTTGCAATTTATTGAAAAGTATTATATCATATATAATTATATTGTAATTGTATATCATTTCTATAGATGTGGTACTTATTTTACGCATAAAATAACCATGTTAGAAATGAGGTTTCTAATGTTCTTTTGAACTCTAAGAGTTATGTATCAAATGTTGAAAGAACTGAATGGATTTTGATTGTGATTAAATAAAACTGAAGTAGTAATTAAGAAAAGAAATTCAACAATTGCCAAAAAATAAAGAATTAACAGCATAAGAATATCAGTACAAGTACATGTTGACTATCCATACACATGTAAATAGTCAATACATATAGCAGTTGCATTAAAATATACATCTCTAAGCTAAATGAAATAACGTTGTGAAAAATGGCTTTGCTTTTATTTAATTACTCGTGTTGCCATTATATTCAATTAAAAATGCCATCTAAACTTTATGTATTTACATGCATAAAAGTTGAGACCCCCCCCCCCCTTTGGTCTAACGGCACAGCATAAAATGGAGCAGAATTTTAACAGTTCCTTCAACTGTGCATATCTGATTCTGAAGTTTTAATTTCGTATATACTAGTGTACGGACTTAAGAGTTCTACAACATCACAGGTACAAAATGGACCTTTGGGGTTTTATTCTCCTTTCCCACTCTTGAAACCTGTTTGGTTGAATTCAGCCTCTTTCCCAGTGCAGCGTCAAAAACTTGTTTAGCACGGATAGTGACAGTGCCATACCTTTAGTCATTAGCATTAAAATTAAATATCATCGGTCTTTTGGATATAATCTTCTTTTTTTAAAAAAAAAAAAAAGGGCCCATCCCTTCGGTTATTGGTTATTAATGCAACTATGCATTTATAAACACTTGACCTTAAGTGGATGATTTCTTTATCTGATTGAAAAATCCTTAAATGGGGTAAAGCAACATTCAATTATATCGATCACATATTACATTTAGGAATCCCTCTCCTCTTTACCAGTTTATTATACCCCCCGCTTGAAAAGCGGGAGGGTATATAGTAATCGGTATTTCCGTCCGTCTGTACGTCTGTCCGTCCGTCCGTCTGTCTGTCCGTCCGTCCGTCCGTCTGTTACGCTTTGGGGTACCCATCTCTTATCCGCAACTCCTCTCATACCACTGAAGGAAATTTAATGAAACTTTCACAGAATCTTTATAACATATTCCGTGTACACCTCCTATTTTACTTTTTGATCTGACATATATTTTGGATTTTCCAGAGCAAAACATGGATACTGCCAATATATTCATATGGGAGGCGGGGGGTATCATTTAGTGAGCTCATCGCTCACAGTACCTCTAGTTTTCTAAGACAGGACTATCGTAACTTATATATCGATGCAAAAAATTGAACCTTGTCCATAACTTTAGACTGGGTAGGACTATGACTTTCATATTCACAGGTGAATTTGTGTGACAAGACCTTTTTTATGTACAATCAATTTTGACCTTTTGACATTGACCTTGGAGTTTGACACACCTTTACACAAGAAGGATATGGAGATACGAACAGTAGTCAATATCAAAGTCCATAAAACAATACAAAATAGGAGCAGAGCAAACACGGACCTCTGAAACTTCAGAGCTGGGATCAGGTGCGATGGAGGAGTGATCATCCCCTGCTGACCGGTCACACCGGTCGTGTACTCTTTGACATGATCAAGAAATAACGGAAAAATCCGCCGTCAATTCAGTATATAAATAATGAACTAACAATTATCATGAAAAACGTCAGTCAGCATTTGACCCAGTGATAAATTGTATTTGCTTACAAGGTCATTGTATCGACCATAGAACTTACAAAATGATTACTTTATACGAAACTGCTGATATTCTTGTTTCATCAACTTGCTTGTCAATAATTTACCTCGTTTTAGAAATTGTTCATACGTAGAGCATGCTATGGCATATCGAATCAACTGAGATATACCGGTATACATTCCATATGCAGGTGATGTAGGTATATCGCTGCATAAGCAAGGGAATTTGTCGATAGAAAAGTTATCACATTTATCATATAGCTTGGTTGTTAGATTACCATTAATGTCTTTTTCAAGAAAAATATCTAAGAATGAAAAAGATGTGTCAGATTCTGTGTTATCTTTCCTCTCATGCTCACCAGGATATATCGTATCGACGTAGGAATGAAATTACCATTGTTAATTGACAATACGTTGTCGATAAATTTAAATGTTGAGTTGAAGGCCACAGCAAGTGTTTTCTTCTTTTCATGCATTAGAATTGCACAAATTCGGCTTCATATAAATATAAAAAGAGATCTGCTAATAACAAAGCATAATTGCTACCCATGGGAATTCCAATAGATTGTTGAACTACCTTGTCTTCAAAAACCACATAGATATTGTCAATCAGTAACTCAAGCATCTCTTTCATGTCAACTGCAGAGTACTTGTGTGTGTAATAAGAATGGGTTTTAACTAAATAATTTTGCAAATGCCCAATGACCAGGTAAATAAATTTAAGAGTTCCGTTTTTATTTAAAAAAAAAGCAGCTGTCAATGATGTAAAAAAAATCCTGGTTCACACCACTTTTTGAATATATTGTTGCGCAGTACTCTTGAAGTTTTTCCTTAACTACTGTCAATATTTTAGTGAGGAATAACGAAAGAGGTTTGGTTGAACATTTACTGGAACCCGCAATGTGTCTTTGTTTGGAATCCAATATATATATAGGATATTTCAAATTCATTTTGGCTCTTTGGAATATTAAAAATATTTAAAACTGACATATAATTTTGAAGAATTTCTTCCTTAGAAAGGGATGTATGAGTATAAGTAAAATTACCACTTGTAAATTAAGTCCAAGTTCTTCTAAAATACAATTTAATGAGCCTTACGAATGAAGACAATGTTGTTACCTGGTTTGGCGGCAGGGACCAGTAGGTACTGATCATGTAATCTTTCTAATCTTTTTTCACTTCTGGATTATGTAACACAACATAGGTGGTTTCATATTACCCTCAATCTTTTAATACGCGGCTTTAACATGGATCTGATACATTTAATACATTCTGGAAAAAATCTACAATTCCACACTTTTACTTTTGCATTAACTTTTAGACGATTTGTGCTAGGACTGTGGAAGTAATGGCATGACTAAGACTTCCTTAATAATTTGCAAAGGTAGTGTCTATAAAATCTCAGAAGAAAGGGGATGTAACAGCAACTTCTTTTTTTTAATTTATGGATATCACTGAAGGTTGAACTATTATTGACTCAGATGTATTTTTTGTGTGTGCCAGTTTTGGAGGAATTTTTAATATCATTATAAGAACGTTCTCTATGAGTATGATATTTCCTATATATACAGGAGAAGTAAAGTACTATATGTAAAGTTGTTAAAAGTGTATATTTTAAAGCAGAATTAATGCATACAGATGTATATGTTTTAAGGTAAGAGCTACGAAAATTGGATTTATATAGTTAAATAACGTTACTTTTCTTGCTTCTGTGCTACGTTTTTGGATTTGTAAAAATTTTCAAAGTTTATAGTTATCAGAAACATATGTCATTTTTCGGAATAAAACCTTTGAATGATAAAAAAACACCCAAAATATAATCATAAATTTATGCTCCTTAATGAATAAATATTCATTGGGATTCTGCAAGCCAAAAATAAATCCATACCAGATAAATTGATTGTGATGCTACTTTTAAGATATGCAATTGAATGTATGTTGGAAAGGATTAAAGTACATAACAAAATTCCCCTTACTTGCATTTGAACGTATGAAAATATCAGGAGACACATATACAAGGTTTTATTGTATAAAAAAAATAGGGGGTCGAATTTCTATGGGGGTCATTCTTCAACGTGTGTGGAGTCGTAGAATCACTGGTCTGGAATGTTTTTCTACAGTCGAAAAATGACCCTACTTGCCGTAGAATATTGACCCAGGGTCATTTTTCTACGTAGGTCAATATTCTACGGGGGTCACTTTTCGTCGTTACACCGGCCATTGCTGCTTTTTCTTCGAGTACGTGAAACATGCTTTTATTTTGAAGAGTTATCTTGTGTGTTCATTATCATTGATTAAAAAACAAGCAAAACTGGAAATATCAAAACTAGATTTAATTTTATGGTTCCCCTCATTCTGACTAAAATGGTTCTCAAAACTTTCATTAAACTTCAAGGAAACACTATTTTTCTCCGTATATTTACCTACTGATACATTTTTAAATCTGGAATGTGTTTACTTAGTTTTGATATCAGTTTTTAAGTTGGCGTTTGCCAACATAAACGTTTGTTGCACCAATGCATGAACTAGAGTCGGCATGTCGCCTGTACAGATTTCTTGATCAGTGGCTGTTCCATCAATGAAATGCATAAAGACGTTTGCATCATTAATACAATAATTAATCTTTTTAATCCTACTTTATATGATTATTTAAATAGATATAAATATAAACAATAAAATGTCTTTCTTTGTTTTATTGTTTAAAGGTCATCATGAAATTGCTGGTATTAATGATGCAAACGTCTTTATGCATTTCATTGATGGAACATCCACTGATCAAGAAATCTGTACAGGCGACATGCCGACTCTAGTTCATGCATTGGTTAACGCAATGGGTTTTCTTAAGAAATAAAGGAGAAAATATTCAGCGGATGTAAATATAATTAAAGTTCAATTTCAATTTTAAGATAACGGTTGCAACACTCAGTATATTAATTACTTGTTACAGTGTTATGTATACATGTGAAAAACGTTGTGTTTTCTCATAACAAAAATTTGGACCAAGTTATGACAGACAAACAGACAGGCTAAATGACAAATGAATGAGATGAATTGTAACATTACATTTGCAAAACCAGGGGAGAAAATGGTCAATATATACTCTCAAATAACTTTGATTTTACAAATTGATATTGCAAAATGAGAAATCGGTTATACTCTCAGAGTTATCTAAGGCTATATAACTAATGAAAATTCATAACACCATGGTGTTTATTTGTTAACTTTTATTTGTAGACAATGGAACAGTGATCGTACAACAATCGCCAGTAAATGATGGAAACTGAATCAGGTTAACGACTACCTCAGACAGAGGACCGGGGCATTCCGCACCATCCACGGGGCGAATACTTAGTCATACACATCCCTCACCATCCACGGGGCGACTGCTTAGTCATACACATTCTTCACAAGAAATTCAAACTTCACGGTTTCCTATAGATTCAAATAAATATAAACAATGTTTAGATCTTACAGCTCCCCCGCCATCTTATGATGACGTCATTTCACAAAATTATCCTATATTGAATGAAAGTGAAACTTACACATCAGTCAGCTGATATTACTTGCCACATATTATGTTTATATAATGCAAAATATCAGCAGTCTCGTTTAAAGTCATTATTTCGTAGGTTCTGTGGTTCTTCAGTGACCTTGTCAGCAAATGCAAACGCAGTTTATCATTGAGTCAAATGCTGACTGACGTTTTTCATACTAATTGTTAGTCCATTATTTATATACTGAATTGACGACAGATTTTCAGATTTAACTTATTTCCCCGATCATGACAAGGAGCACACGGCGGGTGTGACCGGTCGGTAAGGGATGCTTACTCCTCCATGGCACCTAATCTCACCTCTGACGTTTTTGAGGTCCATGTTTGCTCTGCTCCTGTTTTGTATTGTTTTATGGACTTTTGATCTTGAAAACTGTTCGTTATCTCCATATATTTCATCCAATAAATTCTTTTGTAAAACAAAATGATAACAATATTTGAAGTTTAAACTTTGAAGTAAATAATTATGAATAGATAATTTTATCAAATAATTGGTTGGATTGCATATACATATATTTGTACATGTATACTCAGTATGATTTTATTGATATCTTTTGACAGACGTCAAGCGGAGATATACATTATTTAAAATTCTATCAATTAATCAGTAAATAAAATTGTGAAGTCTACAACCTGTCTGTTTAATGTTTTTAAAAGTAAATTTAGCTGTTAGATAGTTGACAGATAAATAATCATTTGATATGCTAAGTATTAGTTTTTTTGCTATGCTCGCACAATCAAAGATTTTTGGGAATTTAGTTTTTGCCCTGTCTGTCTAGCTGTCTTTTTGTCTGTCTGTCAGCGATATCTACAATCTTGCGCTATGAAATGATCGAGGCAGTGACTTTCATAATTCACATGACTTTGTGTTTTTCTTGTGACCTCTTGATCTTGAAATTAAACCCATTTTACCAAAATTAACCATGGTCATGATTATTGAAAAGTTTGTATTAGGGCTTGCATAAGTCAATTCCAACTATTCCAACTAACAATTGGACTTATAGTTCTTAGGCTTTCATGTTTTACAAATGGATTTGTTGTGATAAGACTTTGTCGTGCATACCGGCAGTTTTGACCATTTGACCTTTCCATGAAGGATGATAATTTTTTTAACCTTGGCAATAACTTTCAAACCGTTGGTTCTACGACTTCCATATTTCACGCTGTTTCTCCTATATATGTTAAGGTCTTCCTCTCTAAAAACAGTTTTGACCTTTGGCTCCTCACCCCAAAGTTTGACCTACTTTACAAAAACATTACTCTTGTTCAAAACTTTTGAACAGTTGGCACTGAAGCTTTCATACATGCATTTCATGTGTGTATTTTTGGCGACAAAAACGTTTTTGGTACTATTAAATTTGACGGTTTGGCTTTTACGTATTACTTAGTTTTGAAAAAAATAACTTTTCAACAGTTGGTATTTAGCTTTTAGTATATTTTCGAAAAAAATAAAACTACATTTCATGATATCACGATGTTTAAATTGGTGATATCACCTTTTCTATTTTAATTCGAGAGATGTCTTACAACATTAAACAAGAAAACATTGATGTAACCATCAATTGTCGCCCGGGAAATATATAAAGTAAACAATGAAAATGAGTCTTGATCATCAAACCGCTTCAATATGTGTGAAAAGGCATACGTCCAATTGATGGAGACGATGGTCGCGAATATTTTGAAAAGTTGTAGTCGGATAAAAATCAATCAAAAACGATACCACTTTAAACTTGATCAAGTCCTCAAGTAAATCTTGGCTGCATAAAATATAAATTGAAGTTAGACACACGCATCACCTATATCTAAAATGTATCAATTTTCAATTTTAGAATATGAAACACGAACTGTGCAGAGTACGTTTTTATCCGAGAAGTAAAATTCGATGTTCTAAAAAAGGGGACCTGTCGTTTTTTCGATAGTAAATGATAAGCAACTTTATGTATTAAATATGAAAAACATATATATTTTTACAGATTCATTTTATTGAAGTATATATATTATTCATTTCGTAATTTATAAATTGAAAGAACATTATGATTAACAATCTTTTCAATGTTTAGAAAACCTTTAATTCTAAATAACTACTCCCACCCAAATCCCCATACACCAACACTTAAACATTAAATAATAACGAATAATTCCTTCCTAAAGATAATCTAGCTTAAATTCAAAATCATGGATGAAATATCAAATGAGTTTTAAAGAGCAATTTTTATAGCATTGATTTTTAGACTTTTTTCTACTCATGCGGTACAGAAAACGTTTATCCTAAACTCTTAAAGAAGATTCAATAAACTGATACTTTAACAAATTAATATCGGAGGGGAAGAATAAAGCAATTGCAGTATCACAGAATGTATTTCCTGAAAAGTCTTGCTGCCATGAATGTGCATCAAAACAAAACATTAAGCTGTATGCGTTTTATGAATATTTGTCGGCTATAGCGCGCCATAAAACTTGACTACATAATGAATGTGAATTGTGTGTATAACTGTATTATTATAAGAGGTCAAGAGGTAATTTTTAGTGATTGAAAATCCTTATGTTACGATGTACGAAGAAAAAAGAACTAGTTTTAAATACTATAGGTTCACGGACTTATCAATCTCAATGGGAAATTCTGAGATATGATACTTAATTGATACAACTCACTGTGACTAAAAGGTCAAAGAAGTATGGGAGCCGTAAACTGCTATTATATATTGGTGTGGTGGATATTTTTCATTCCTCTGCTTGGTAAGCATTGATCTGTATAATTTGTACTGATACTATTTATAATGATGTTAATAAAACTTTATCAGTAAACTTTTATTCATGAATACCGTATAACGAGTATTTTCTGCGGTAGGATAATTTTGCGGACTTTTGCTGATTAAAAAAAGTCGCAAAAATTACAATCGGAAAAAAGAGAAAAAGATTCTTTAGTATTTTTAAAGATATTTTATATTTGTATTTTATGCATGTTAGTCTATTAAGTGGCGTAAAAGTCAGTGAACGTATTAAGTAGTTTAATATTATTTGACTTCTTTCTTAAAACGTGTATTAATTATGTAGTACAAAAAAGAAGTATGCTTAAGAATGTTATATGAAATGGATTTAAAAAGAGATTACGATACACTAAAAAGTAAAATATTTCGTACTAACATCAACATTTCTTCAAATTAATTCATAAAACGTAAACACCCTTAGAAACTGGTCCTGTTAATAAATTTTGCGGTGTAATGCAACTGCAAAAAGTGAAAAACTGAATAAAAATCATTCAAAACACAAATTAAACAGTGCTTTACTCAGTGGAGTTAATAAAAACATACTATTATTTATTTCACATACCTACAAAACTGTTAATATTTATACATGTATTTGTATTTTTAGATGCTGAAACGTGTTACTTCTACGAAAAAGTCATGGATAAAAATTTGAATAGTTGGAGTACTTTCTATTCTATGAATGAGAAAGATTCCAGAGTTCGTTATAAAATTCAGCAATCCTCGTTTTATTGCTCCTTTAACCAATATTGCTGTTGGAAGGACTGCTGCTACAAATACCAAAACGAACCAGAGGAAGACAGCGAAGATAACACAGCCTTGTAAGTGTGTATGATTAATTAATTACGTTTGATCCTTGTACGTGTGTATGATAAAGCAAGTGTTTTTTTTTCTTTTTGTTCTCTGTGAAGAAATTAAATAACTTTTCTTTTAATCAGATCTACGGCCTCTGTATGGGGCATTATTATCGGTGTCGGGATGGGAACATGTGTGTGTTTATTCTGTTGTGTTCAGTTATGTAAAAGTGACAACGCAGCTCAAACATCTATACCGATGACTGTCGCTCGTTCTGGTAAGTCACTACATTGTTCTCTTACAAAAAGTAATATTTAAATATTACTGGTTGAATTGGCATTTTTTTTGTTCACAAATAGAAAATTTATTATAAATAAGACAAATTGTACATTGAACAGACAGTTCTTTTGATAATAAATGTGATATTATTTGAATTTTACTTGTAATTTAACTGGCTTTTAATGTCATTTCTAGTTGATGTAGAACAAGATTTTTGACTTGGAAGACATCATAATTTAGACTTAATTTGAAATTTGAATTCTTATTTTCTATTTTTTAATGTATGACGAAAGGTTTAGTATCCTTGCGTGTACAGTAGTCGTGGACAATTTTAAGGTCTATCCACCCTCACAATTTTAATGGTTTAAAAATTGATTTTTTTTTTATTTAATAAAGTTTAAATTTACCAATTATTGTCAAAAATGTAAAGGTTGCCATATTATTTAAGATGGGAGACGTAAATAAACAGAAGCATATGTCAACATAAAAAATCGTTCATTTGTTGTAAACAGTATCATAAATATTATGTAAAAACTGATTCAAATGCATAATTCTGATGCTGAAAGTTCCTAAATATTTGCTACTTATAAGATATTTTTGAATTGTGAATATCAGGAAAACTATTTTGCATTAGGAGTACAATAAAAAAATGCCCGAATGAAGCTATCTGAGCAGGAGTTATTGCCCTTGTCAACATTTTTTAAAAGATTGATTAATTGATTAAATAATTAAAGAAAATATGTATAATTTTTTAAAATCATTTTACTTGACAATATTTATCATAACACATATGGAATATCATTCTTCCAAAATATATTGTTCTTTTGGGTATAAATTTAATTTAATAACAGTTTTTGCAAAAACCTATGACATTATAGGGTTTCTTGCCGTACAAATGCCTGGTTCACGTATTTCAAAGTTATTTTACATGTAAATAAGATTGATTGTCAAAATCAAGATTGAAGAGTTTGCTCTTCAACAAAGTTTTAGTAAGCTAAGTTATGCCTAGGAACTTGAATAACATACATTTATACCTACGATAGACCTAGGCATAAATATTTCTAGAGTTTTACCACAACATTGTGAAACGTTACGAGCCAATGGCTAGCATAATAATAAGTAAAATTCACTAGCTATTTTAATTGTATAACTGGACCAGGCATTATAAAAGATAACTTTATGTTGAATTGATATTCCTTAAACTGCATGGAAGACATCATTATTACGTAGGAATACAATTGCAAAGAAACTGATCATTTTAACTGAATAGAAAAGACGTAAGCACTGTTAGTTTGAATATGAGATGGAATTACCTGGATAAGCTCATTTAACTGTAATATTTAGCAATTTTCTTGAATCCCTAATCGTTATATGTGTAAAAGAAATAAAGTCTGACTTAGTAAGAAGTAAAAAAAAATTAGAAGTTGAAGTTCATAACTGGGAAGAAGTGATTTACAAATTACACAATAGCATCTCAATAAGGTATTTCTCAGTAATTTGTTATAATTGTAGACAATGGAACAGTTGTTGTCCGTCAGAGAAATCCGGAGGAATCTGATGCTGCACCTTTAACGCTTCTCTTTCCCGACGGCCAAAACATAGAGCCACCCACGCGATCAAGTCTGGAGCCTGAGCGTGGAGTTCCTGGCAATCAGACAGACCTTGGATCGACTTCATCTCCAAATGAATATAATAATAGTTCACCTCATACCATAGACTATACACTACCCCCACCATCATACGAATACGTCATGTCACATAATTTTCCTGGTAGTGAGAGTGTGCATTTGAATAAGCAAGCAGATTAAATGGGAATATGCATGATTTATATTAATGGTTACTTTCATTCATATGTCGATTCGATATATCCTAGTGAACTTGATATGAACATACATGTAGTCTGTTTCATATTTGGATATTTCATTGATTAATGACAGTAAGAGCAAACATACAGCTAAATTGTTTGACAAACGAGATGATTTCAATTTTTCTTATTTACAGTAAATAGATATTTCGCTATCACCTGCATATAGTGTAAACATATTCTAATGTATTCGATACTCAAGAGTATGGACTGAGTACGATTAGCTTATTTAGAGTGAAACAGACTTCTGCATAATGTTATAGAAATTCCAACACCCGGTTAAAATCGTCATTCAAACATTCTGTGGTCGCAACAATTAATAGCCTGTTAGCAAATATAATACAAGAGGCCCATGGGCCACATCACTCACCTGAGCACTAAGGGTAGGAAAAAGTAGAAAATAGCTTTTTAATTGTAAAGTTTAAATCCAAAAGTAGTCCCATGACCAATCATGGATTTGCTATTTTTTAGAAAATGAATTTTAAAGAATTTTCCTATATATATCTTTAAAAACTTTGGTTGGCCATTTTGGCCCCGCCCTACCCTTGGGGGTCATGATTTGTTCAAATTTGAATCTACACTACTTGAGCATGCTTCCATATAAATATGATGAATTATGGCTTTGTCATTCTTGAGAAGAAGATGTTTAAAGAATTTTCCTATATATTTCTATGTAAAAGTTTGGTCGTCCATTTTGGCCCCGCCCTACCCCCGGGGGTCATGATTTGAACAAACTTGAATCTACACTACCTGAGCATGATTCCATATAAATATGATGAATTATGGCTTTGTCATTCTTGAGAAGAAGATTTTTAAAGAATTTTCCTATATATTTCTATGTAAAACTTTGGTCGGCCATTTTGGCCCCGCCCTACGCCGCTTCCATATAAATATGGGGGTCATGATTTGAACAATACTTGAATCTACACTACCTGAACATGCTTCCATATAAATATGATGAATTATGGCTTTGAGCATGCTTTCAGATAAATATGATGAATTATGGCTTTGTCATTCTTGAGAAGAAGATTTTTAAAGAATTTTCCTATATATTTCTATGTAAAAGTTTGGTCGGCCATTTTGGCCCCACCCTTCCCCGGGGGGTCATGATTTGAACAAACTTGAAACTACACTATATATTTTTAAAGAATTTTCCTATATATTTCTATGTAAAAGTTTTTTGGCCCCGCCCTACCCCCGGGGGTCATGATTTGAACAAACTTGAATCTACAATACCTGAGCATGCTTCCATATAAATATGATGAATTATGGCTTTGCTCCCATATAAATATGATGAATTATGGCTTTGTCATTCTTGAGAAGAAGATTTTTAAAGAATTTTCCTATATATTTCTATGTAAAAGTTTGGTCGGCCAATTTGGCCCCGCCCTACCCCCGGGGGTAATGATTTGAACAAACTTGAATCTACACTACCTGAGGATGTTTCCCCATAAGTTTCATCTTTCCTGGCACAGTGGTTCTTGAGAAGAAGATTTTTAAAATATTCCACTAAATTTTCATTAATTCCCAATTATCTCCCCTTGAATGAGGGCGTGGCCCTTCATTTGAACAAATTTGAATCCCCTTTACCCAAGGATACTTTGTGGCAAGTTTGGTAGAAATTGGCCCAGCGGTTCTTGAGAAGAAGTCGAAAATGTAGAAAGTTTACAGACAGACAGACAGACAGACGAACAGACGGACAGACGGATGCCGGACAAAATGTGATCAGAAAAGCTCACTTGAGCCTTCGGCTCAGGTGAGCTAATAAATATGAATATTGTTTTTAGCTAAAACGTCGGGGATATGTATTTGGAATTGAATATCATATACTTCTTTTCAAGTATAATGTTTTAAAACATTCGCATATTACGGGGCAAAATAAGAACCCATTGATTAACAAAAATGTTTGAAGATCAGTCCTCCGTTTACCATCTAAATGAAAGCTTCAGCTTCTCTTAAATATCAGCCTTTAAATAATTGTGTATAAAATCATAATGTTTCTATTATCAAAATAAGACTGCAATGACAAGGTATGCAAATAAACCGGTTCTATTTCAGGTGAAATGCAGATACATGTATATATGTATGATATTATTAGTGTCTTACATGTATTTTTTTACGATCTATTGTGGAAATTGTTGTTAAATATATTTAAAAAAATTTGATTGCCGCTGATTCTAAAAGAATCTGGGTGGATTAGGCGAGTCATATGCCTACGCACGGGCAGGTAAAATATCGATTAAAAAAATTCTTGCAAATTCCACTTTTTGTTAAGTTTGGGAGTTATTTATAACCATATACATACAGTAAAGATAAAACCTGATTCAAATTACTTACAAAGTGATTGTAATTCACCCAACAAAATGGTAACACGCTTTAGTAACCATAAAAATGACAGAAATTGAATGTTAAAAATGTGTTTTTTATATAGAGTGGGTCTTCGTACCATTTTTTTGTAAACAAATATTGAAAGGGTATGGATGGATGTATCTCTCGCCATTTTCAAAAAATGGTACGAAGACCCACTCTATATTAAAAAGTTAGTTTTCCTACTTAAATTTCGCATCATATTCTCAAAAACCCCAAGTCCAATTGTGCGTTTGCTATACATATAGAACTATTTGCTATTTAAAGGGCAATGTATGTGCGACTTCGTGGCTCAGTAGTCATAGCGGCGGTGTTGAAACACCCAGTTATTTGTCGCGAGTGTTCGAATCACGAGGTTTTTAACGTTCAGGTTGAAATTTAGATAAATTTATTTTTTCACTAAAACAGAATGAAAAGATAAGATGATGAATTTGTTTACGGTCAATTAATATATTTCCTTTAATAAACAAGTTTTCAAGCTACATGTGTATATAACATTTTGAATGCGTTCAGTTGAAGACTACATTACACGATTGAAATGTAAACAGTCAGGGGTAGACCAGCGCGATATGGCTGTTCTGTATGCAAAAACAGTTGAAAGGAAATTAAGGTAAAGCGTACTATATCTCCCAAACCCTGAAAACATATTTGAAATAACAACTAAGACGCAATATGAAAAGCATCAAGTTTAAAAATACTGTAACGATAACCGCAAGGTTTAAAAAATAGATATTGTCATTTGGACAGCGCTGTACAAAGTTTAAATGTTTCAATAAATCGTACAACTGTGAAATTTCCGAAATGCTTACAGAGCGACAAAATCCGTGTGGGCATATGACTCGCCTTATCCCCCCAGATTCTTTTATTCTTTTATTTTCTAAGGTGTTTTTGAGTTATTTAGCAACCGTATCTGGTTAACACCGTTTCTCAAATAAACTTATTTTTTGTACAATACTCTTAATGTTTCTCCTTCACTGCTGTTAATATTTTCGAGTAGCGTTAATAAAGAGGATTGGCAGATTTATATATACTCAGAATCTGTTTGTTGTTGGGAATTAAAGATATTTGAAACTAAAAAATGATTTACGATTTGCATGTGTTATTATTGAAAAATATATATTTATAAGGTTTCAACAGGATAAAGTCCTTGGATCAAATGCAGTTAGTACGCCTCTACTAACCCCCCCCCCCCCCCATTGAATCGCTTTTTAAGAGTTAATCAGTATATTTCATTGTTACCTAATCTACTATATAAATTGTAATAAGCCATTATAAACTGTTTCCTGACTCATTGTAATGTTTTTGCATATCATGCAACAGTTAAAACTAACTGTTTACCAGGCCCCAAGACCATAAACTGAGAACAGACCTGAGTCAAAATTTCAAAACAGTATAACTTTTGAAACAATTTTGATAATGAAACAAAGTTTTCATCAAATCTTCAAATCTGAGTGTTATACAAAATTGCAAACTTTAAAGCAAATACTTTAAATAAAACTCAAAAATCAAAATTTTGGCTTAAGTCTGTTCTCCTTTATGGTCGTGGGGCCTGGTCACAGTTTACACTTATCGACATTCAATTTGAAATTATCATCTTAAAAGTAATTCCAAATACCCATACAAATATTATTCAATTACATTTTATTTAAAAAGGAGGCCAAGAACACCTTTTCTGAGGGTTATTAAGGAGGAAAGTAGGCCCCTTTCACTCATTATAGACTGTGAAGAGGTTGTTTTATTTTCTGTATATATTACTTTAATTTTATTCTAATGGGTTTCCACACTTTTGAGACTGTTTGGTCACTAGTATATAAAGGGACCGGTTTTGTTAGTTTGGTGAGAGCTAGTCTGGTGTCCGGTAGCGTGACCAGCCGGAGGTGTGCCACGTTTGCAGTTTCCCCGGCATGACTTATACAAATGGCGATTATTTTTCGGTGATATATAGAACCGAATGTTAACGGGTAGCCACATAACCTGCCAGGAGGATTATTGCAGCGTGTTTGTACAGTTATAGCCGGTAAGAGTGTTCGGATAATATATTCGTTGGTTTGCTGTTATATATTTCTGGTTTCAGTTGTATTTTAGGTTAGGTTTTTGTAAATATAAATTAATTTCTGTGCGTAAGGGGCTTGGAGACGAGTTATTGATCTATGGGCGTACCGAGGGTCGGTTGGCGAGGTTTGAGGCTTATTGACGAGTGTTGTATCGAGGGCCACGTGCGTCATATCCAATGTTGACACTGTTAAGGGCGTGGTAGGATAACCGGAGCGGGAGGCTAAGACCCGGTGCTCTGCGGATAAGGAACTACTATTTGTGGACCACGGAACTTGGTGTGACGTAGACGTACTTGTATGGCGAGAGCGCAGTGGTGCATTTTCTAGAACACGTGTAGCTGACCTCAATTTGTGAATTTTGCAAACTTTCAGTAACTTTCAGTAGCAAATAGCAAAACACGTTTAAGTTTTGAATATATATTTTATCCTTTTTGGAAGTCAATTGAGCTTTTTCTAAATATCAATTTTTAAAGACAAAAGTCGGTGAATTATTATTGGATTTAAGATCTGATACTAACTGAATTAACTTTGTTGCTTATAATATTAAACGTTGTTATGTAAAGTATCAGATTTGGTTAAAACTGAGTTAACAGTTCATATCTATTTCATTTCTGGTATGTGAGCTGGTATGTGAGAGTGAGTGAGTGTTATTGAATATAATTTGTTTTGTTTTATTTGTGTTAATAAACTTATTTGTTATTTCTGATTGATAATTGTTTTCCTTCTCAAACATACAAAATCTAAAACTCATGACATAGACCTTTGCCTTAAACATCCACTTAGAGTGTTATATTCAAACCTTCAATATGTTTTGTGAGAATTTGATTAATTTAAATCTTGTTTAGTTTGGTTTCAAAAGATTTATACACTTTTGTCGATATATTTTAAAATCTATTGATAATAATTTTAGGATGTCTATTTCATTATTTTAAGAAATTATACAGTAGGTTAGGTGATAAAATACTTATTTCATGACAACTCGGGAAACTTTTGCCTTC